ATGTCGTCGCCACAGGTGTGTAAGTCCTGCGTACGCTGCTCGAGCCTTGGAAATGCGGGCGGTTATCTCCTTTGCTGCGGTACCGTCGTTGGTCACGAAACCACCCAAGTACGAGAAGCAATCAACCACGGCTAATTTTTGACCATCTAGTTTCAGAACGGTTTCCTCATGAATACTACAGCTGACCTCGGGCCAAAAGCGAATGTTGGAACGCATGGAAAGAATGCTGGAACAGTTCACAAGGGAAGTTTTCCAAATCCAACTTACCAAATCACTCAAACCATCTTCTTCTTTGTTGTAACGCGCGTAGTCTCGTCGCAGAGTGCGTAGAAGAATCATGAACACCAAGGCAACCAGGAATAAAACCATCATGAACGAATTGAAAATGGAGAACCAGTGAATCTGATGAGGAAACACAATATGGAAACGAGAATGTTTGATGACCGGAAATTTGTGTATAGAACTCAAACAGATCATCTCAGAGGCGATGTAGTTTGTATGACATCGTTTTTCTGTCTGGAAAGATCGGTATCTGATTGTAAGCGATACACTGAATAACTGAAACGGTCATTAATGATGGAAAGGAACCCTTCAAAGGATATGGCCTCCCACAAATAAACCACATCTCGCCAAGGCTGCTCATGCATAGCATAGTGATATTGTTATAGCGTGAAGTACCGCACGAACGAGTTAGAAAACACTCACTCGATGTTGGAAAAATTGATAATCCAAATATTCATCATAACGACGCTCAAATGTAATGTTGGACGGGAGCCAGAAAACCTGAAACGCGGGGGATAGACAAATATCAACTGGAAACAAGTAAAAACTGACGTGAAAAAATTGTTGAGGGGTAAAAGCATACAATGGTTGTATGAACCGCGAAACCAGTCATGCGCTTCCAGTGAGATTAATCTATTCGGTCAAATGTTACTCATTCTAAAAATATATATATACATAAGCAGTATGTGAGTATTAAAATGTCCTAGTACTTGGATTTTATACGACTTGCTATAGCTGCAACAACCAAAACTTTTCGTCCTGGTCTATCATACACTTCAAAAACGTCTGACTTCTCTACTGGATCCCGGTTAACAGCCGGCTTTGCGCCGTACGTCTGGATGGTTCAGTACGCATCAAC